AAATCCATTTTTATTCCCCAGCACACCTCACATGTCGATTTAGTCATTATATCCCTCTCTCACACACTCACACTCCTATCTATTTCCGTCACTCTCTCTCTCACACAGAATTTCACATACTCAGGAAACTATACACACACACACAGAGTAACCTGCTGCTTTTGACGGCCGCCTCGGGCGCCGCTGCTGCCGAGACAACTGCTCTGCCGCCAAATGCAGGAGAATCCCTGCTCCGTCATCCTCCAACCGCTGAGAAGTCTCGACCCTCTCCGGCACCTACATGCCACCCAATTCTCGCCGGAGCACGTCGCCTTAGTCGGCGTCGCTGATGTGGTCGCCAATTCCATTGACGGGCGGACGCTGGCGAGTGCGTTGTTGTTATTTTATTTTTATTTTTTTATTTTGTGGACATGGAAGCAGATGTGTATGTGTGTGTGCGTGTGTGTGTGTGTGTGGAGCTGTGTGTGCGTGGAGTTATGTGTGCATGGTTGGTGTAGATGAAAAGGAAGTTGGGTTTGGGTAGTTTTTTTTAAAATAAGATAAATTGCAAGGGCTTAATTGCGATTTCATGAAATTTGATTATATTTCAATTCGGTTCAAGTGTCAAATCTGTAATTTGTGGAAAGTCTAATAAATGTATGATAATTATAAATAAAATGCACATTATATGCATAATAACTCATCAACAAAAATAAATACGGCGTCTCAATTAATAAACAATAAATTATAATCATTCAATTCATATAGAAATCAAAGTTATGGTTCAAAAATGATCACTCAATTCATGAGTAATGGTCCCCTACCCACGGTGGGCACATGTTAATATGCCCACTGCTTATGTGGCATGCACACATTGGTGATGTTAGGGGAGCATTACTCTTTAATTCATAGACAAATGAAAGTTATGTTTCAAACATCCCCTCAAACTGTATAAAAACTAGCCTAACATATTAATACAAATAAATTTGAAAGAATAGAATTATCCTATTGTTGACATCAAATTCCAACGGACGTTGGATGAACGACACGTGGACAGAAAGAGAAAAAGGGGGCCGACCCGAGTAGAGCTAGGGTAATGTTCCCGAGCTGTGTAAACCGACCTCGGAGGCCTTAGGTGTCGTATGTTCTCTCTGACTCTGGGGCCAAAGGCACAGAAGTGGTACTACTCGCTGTCTGCGCAATCTATCCGACGCTGGGTTCAACTCAGGTTGGTGTTCCGCTCCCATTTCATCGGAGCGCAAGTCTGCTTGATCCCAAAGGAGTCGATCA